TATTTTCTTTAGGTGGTAAGGAAAATCTTGGCATCATCTTTGACTTGGTGGACTGTCTTGTCTTGTTGCTTTTCAAAGTAATTGCACTATGGTGGCTTTTATTATATATATATATATGTGTGTGTGTGTGTATATGTTTATATGTATTTGCATATTGTCTTGGCCAATGGGATGGCAGTAGCAGTCACATCTGGCCTAATTGATGTTCATTTTGGGAACACCATGATCCACCCTTGATCTTGCCTGCTCCTGCAGTTAGGGTAAAGTTATTCATCATACTTCATATATATATATATATATATATATATATATATCTATAGATTTTTCTACTAAGCATATTAACATGATGTCAAATATTGATGATAACAACTTATGATTAAAATAGTAATAAATAATAATCACAATAATAATAAAAGTAAAAAATATAGTATAATTATATTAGATATACTATTTTAATAAATACCCAAATAATTAAATTAAGCGATCATAAATTATGATATAGTAAAAATATAATATTTTTAATAAAACGTAATAATATATGTATTTTAACGATATATAAGAGTTGAATTTTTAATATTATCGTAAGAAATTTATTTTAAATTTTAAATTTTTATGATTTGGAAATTTATTTTATTTATTTATTTATTTATTTTTAATTTTTTTGAATTAAATTTATATTTAATAGAATAATGTATAGTAATAATGCTCTTTATTAAATAATGAAGACAAAGGAATATATAATGAAAATAAGCAAATATGGGAATGATTCCTTACCCTTAAAAATTAATGAATATATATATATATATATATATATTCTATTACATATCAACCAATCACAAGCCGACACGTACACATGTATATTCTTTAAGAGTAATAATTTGTATTAATAAACTCTTTATAAATTTTTAGTTACTACTATGTTAATTAGATTGCAGTAATAAAAAAATTAAATTAGGTTTTAACGAGACTTTATTAATTTTTTATTAAAAAAAAAAATTATATGATAGTTATACTATTTTAGTCGGAACGGTTATTACGGATTAAAAATCTAAACTTACATTTTAATTTATCAAAAAAAAAAAAATCGCCACAAATCTATTTTCAAACTTTCAAATTGATTGTAACTTTAAAAGAGTTACAAAATTATTTCATAGAATCATTAGTAAAAATTTATTAGGTATACAAGAAAATTTAGAATCTAATCAGTACGTACGTAGTATAACAATAATAAACATACTTATAGAATATTATATAGTTAGATTATTATAGTTGAATTATGAACAACGAATTAAATCAAATTTTATTAACAAATGAAGACATTCTCTTGTATTTCAGTTTTACAGATCTATTAATTTGACGATAACATTATTCTATATACTTCTATCATGGTATATCTACATTAGATATAATATAAAAAAAAAGCTACAAATTATAACTTTATTTTTTATTTATTCTAACTAATTATATACCTCAATTTACTTTATGGGTTTTTCGGATTTGCTATTTTAATGATAATAAATCAAATAAAAGTTTAGATCAAGTTTTGACCAGTCACACAAAATCTCAAGTGGTGTTTACCTATGATGCAGCTATCTATAAGAATTTTTTTATCGATTATACGTTTATGAAAAACGTAACATCATAAACTTCATTTTTATCGGTTCTTTTGGAGTATATGTTAAACTATATATTCTGACTGAAGATTAAGCTAATCGATGATTTATTAATTGATAATCTTCAACGATTTTCGATTAGTAATATATCATTTAACTATTTAGTCTCTCTCTCTCTCTCTTCTTATTGATTAATACGTTAAGAAACTCTTATTTAAAAATAAATATATTGATAATCTTGAATTTTTAATAGATATCAGGAGTTCTATTGAAACCAAAAAATATAAATATGCCTCTTATCCGCGTCAGAATAAATGGAATTTTTCGAAAATATTTACTAATAGAGAAAGACTTCGTAAAAATAAAAAAACATAGAACTAAAGAGAGAGTAAAAAAAAAATGATATTTTGTGTATAAACCTACGTAATCTTGAATGTTATTAATTTCAGTACGTATACTAAATGATACAATGCAAGTAAAAGTTCCTACATTTACGGAGATATAGAACAGCGTGTAAGTTATCATGTTCGTGGTGTTATAAATATATTTTTTAAAAAAATTAATAATTTTTTGATTGAAGGTTATTTTTTTTTTTTATAAGAGTTGTAGATTTTATGTGTTTTTATTAAAAAAGTTATATTATAATTAATAAATATGTAATAATTTAATTAATAAAATATATAATTTTTTATTTAAAAAATTCTCTTGAAAAAAGTAAGGTGGTAGTATTTGTTGAGGCTAAATTCAGTAGTCCGAGTCAAGTGAAGTGGTTGGACCGAGTTGAGAACGGCCAGAAATCGCCACTCAGTTTGCGTTTTGTACAGGAGAGAGATACAGAGACAGAGAGATAGCAAAAGCACCATGGGAGAGACAACTGCAGATGATGATTTACTTCTCAAAGCCTTCTTTGCAGAAGTCAGCGAAGTCGAGAGGGATAATGAAGTCGCCAGGTTTCTATCTCTTGAACTCTCTTTCGATACGCATACTTAGGGTTTCCATGTTTGGTTGTTTACTTGGCAGCATCGAATTCATAAAAGGCATAGCATGGATGAGAAACAGTTGCATGTGTTTTGTTCAATCGTATGCATATGAACATGAAGATAATCGCATCTTTGCTCAGCAATTGCTGTGTATTAGCGTTTTTTTTTTCAGGGCCTTTTTTTCGCTAGATAACTTAACTTCCATGAATTTTCTATTTCTGCCTTTTTGGTTTACTGTCGAATTTGCTCAATTAGGGATTGAAGAGTAGAAATTTTACATATTTGTAGCCAGTCAAACCTAGTTGAACTATTATTTCATTTCAATTCTTGCATTCCTATTGGAGTTATACGTGCTTTGGGGATTGAATGGGTCCAATAGGTCGCATGGTAGATTGTGTAGATGAATTAGGACATTTTCTCCATGTTGATTTTCTTTAGTTAATTTGGCGGGCATATGATTATTTTGGGGGGGGGGTGTTGCAGAAGTTTGCAAAGGTATTGGATATTGTTGTATTTTCCTAGGTGTGGGGAGAGATTTGAGATTCTAGCTCTCACAGGCAAAGGAAATTTAGGACATCTTTTCAGAGGATAAAGACAAAACATAGGCATGAAGGGAGTCCATCCCAAATACTAAAGATTTACGTAAAGTTAGAACCCAAAATTATAAGAAGGTTTATTAAATGCTTATCATCCAAAAAGGTATTCCCTCTCTATCAACATAATTCTTAGGGCAGAAAATCAGTGATCTCTTATCCTATCAAAAGGAGAACAAATGCCCTTGAAAATTCTCTCGTTTGTCTTTTGCCAAATGATCTACATAGACTTAGGAATGTGCTTAAACAAGTTTGCACTTAGTTTATCATTTATGTGTCTCAGTGCTCAACCAAGCTCACAGCCCTTTCTCAACCAACCAATGCACTGCCAAGCTCAAGTTTAGAAGGCCAACCGCTGCATCCTACAACCTTGTAGCCTCTAAACACCAAAGGAGATTTTTTGGGGGTGTCATACTCTTGCAAACATGTAGGGCAATCATTGACTGTGGTCTTTCCTCTCTTCTTCTAGTTATCCAAAGTGAGAATTCTCCTCCAAACTGCTTCCTATTAAAAAAAGCAATCCAAAGTGAGGCCTTGCTATTCCAAATTTGCTTCCAAGGAAATCTAAAAGCCAAAGCATTCTGGAAGTATAAACTATTGTCAAGGGTTTTACCAAAAAATTCCATCTTTATCCCTTGAGATCTCAACTGAGCACTAGTGAAGAAGAATCATGAACTCCATAAAGTTTGCTATCCCTCAGTTATTGAGGTTTCTATTAAGCCGAATGTTCCAAGACACTTTACCTGATAGCCGAACGTCCTTTATATCCTAAAACAATCGCTTCCTTATCCACTACCAAGGAAAAAATGCCCGGGAAGCAAATCGTCAAAGGAGTGGCACGACACAATTACCTCCTAAAGACCTTTCTACTCACCCAAGTCCCACCTTAAACTCTGTTAGGTATAGTACAATACCATACTATCTGCTGATCCGTCTTCAAAGGCTGATTCTTGATATTTCATCCTTCCTGGTTTTTCAGCCCCTTCCTTCAGTCACAATTTGGCTCGAAACTCCTGCCACCACAACTGGCCCATGCAACTCATGTTACTACAACCACTTGGCTAATAATGATTTGTTTCTCCCTCAAGGATCTAATGGCAAGCTCACCTTCAATAAATGGCCTCTTGGTTGAGACCCAAGACATCAAATGATAACACTGTTGGTCATTCCTGTCACACCAAATAAAAGGACATTGCTATGGTTCTAGTTGCTTGGCCACCTAAGAAGGAATAGGGAAAAGAGATAATAAATAGAGAGAGGTTGGGTAGTGTGCGCTTGATGGCAGTGAGTTCCACGTTTCGATAATGAATCTCTCTTCCAACTGTCCAATTTCTAAGACACCGAGTCCCAAATACTACAGTCATTAGGTCTAGCCCTCAAAGGACAGCCTAAGTGTTTCAAGGGAAGCTTGCTGACATTATATCCTAAAACCATTGCGTAATCCTCCCCGTTGATGTTTTCTCCAAAAGCCACCAATGCAGAATTATTCAAGTTGATTCTGAGTCCTGAGACAGCTTCAGAGAATACAAGAGTGCATTGAAGGTTCAGAATTTGCTCTCTAACTTGTAAGAGCTGCAAGCTAGATTTGAAGTGATTTAGATAAAGTGGAACTGATGAACACGATTTCATGATTTATTCCGTGGAATTTCGCTAAATTCGTGATAAAAGATAATTCTATTATAGCTGCATGTGTACTTATAAAGAAATGAATCTATGTGGCTTTCTTCTGGCTTTGGGAGAAGTAATCTGCATCAAATTCCTAAAAAACAGACTTATTAAAGACATGAATGACCATATATTCTATCAAAAACAGTAGTAGATAACCATATTACAGTGACTTGTGACACCCATGAACTTTAAGGAAAGTGTGATACATCAAAGACAGACAAATTGCGACAATTCAGATTTAGCTGTTTCTTCTAAAAAGAAAATGCGAAGAATGCAACTGCTGAGTTGAGGTTCATATATAAGAGGTTACTCTTCACAAAAGGTCCTAGTGAAAGGATGTGGATTTTTGTTTCCTATGAATATTCCCCAAGGATGAATCATCATCATGTCCTGGCATATCCTTTGCTGGTTTGCTTGGTGCTGGGGATGAAGCATTGTCTATGTTGCCATAGCTTTTGAGGTTTTTTTAGTTATAGGGTATTCTTGTAGCTTTGAGCTTTCTCCTTCATATAAATAAAAAATCCTGGTTGTAAGGTGAAGTTCTTTAAAGTGAAAAAAAAGGTACATCGATGGGGTAGGCAAATTGCTGAACAGCAGTAAAGGCTCTCTCTGTTCTTTCCTTCTTCTGTCTTGCATTTACTTTTATTTCCATATGCTGTGTGGGTATTTTTACAATAACCACATAGTTTAATGCAATTCTCTTTTAACTCATTTGTTCCATTATTTAGTCCATGAATGGGGTACCATGAAGTCATTACTTAAGTATTATTAGCTTGGGCTTAACCTATGCAGTTTAATTTTCTATGGTTATAGTTGCTCTTTTTTTTTTGTTTTTTTTTTCTATAGGCTGACTTGTTGGTGCTTCTGGTTAGAGTTCATAATTACTAAAAGGGGATAAGTTTGGAATATAAAAGTTACAGTACTTATAAGTTCTTCTCTAGAGAAGCTTATGATGTAAAAATACAATAATTGTAATTCCTAATAAAAATTAGTAACAATTGATTCCCTAATATTGTAATCTTTTTTGCTATTACTCTAGATCGTATGTACCATATTCGTATATTTATATTCCCTTAGTAGATTATCCATACATCGCATTGAACTCTGTCTTATGTAAAGTTGCTAGCGTACGATTAACCTTTGGATTGAACAACTCACACTTTTACCACTAAACAATACCCGTTAAAATGCAATGATGGTATAAAAATGGGTCCGCATCTCCTACGGGAATGATTTGGAAGATCCAAAACCGAAAAGAGTGGTATTTAATAATAAATTATAATATGCCAATCCTTTTTCTTAATGTTTCTTTGTTTAGGTTATTGTATCTTGTTTTCCTGTCAAAAATTTGTGTGCTCTGTCATAATACTTTTTCTGCTTGTCCCAATAGTAGTTTGTGGGTTCTTGACTCTTCGAGGTCAACACTTGTAAATTGTTTTTTGAGTTCGATGAGCATTTCATGCCCCATCGGTTCCAGGGGTGCGGATCAGATTAGTTGCCGTCCAGCGGGAAACACTCCGTTGCCAGTGCCGCGGCAAAACTCGAATTTCGCCGCACAAGAATTTGTGACATGATGTATTGCTGATGGTACGTCGATGTCAGGTGTTCTCTGTTGATTCGTTTTTCACAGCGGCAGGCCCGGCTGCTACAGCTGCTCAGCGAG